ACACACACTTCAATTTTATTTATTTGTATAGATTATAACTGCGTCTTGCGATTATAAAATGTCACATAATGGCAGTGAAAAACAGCAGCCTAATACTGCTAAGTTTCGTATGATGAGTGACCAAATCTCAAGGACCCCTGTAATTGATAATATGGCATTCCATCTTAGTCCTCGAAGGTGGCAACGCATCTGCTTCTCTTTTGTTAATCTAACGTCTATGGCCCACATCATCTATCTCATGTTTTCGTTTGTCGCCTTTATTGAAGTTAAAAATTCTAAACCAAAAGTAAATAAGAAACATCGTAATAAATATAACTATTTCTATTTTAATAACAATGTCAACAACAATAACTTTCATCGGTTTGATGAGTGACTTAGTATCCACAATGCTCCGAGAAATCGGGTCAATTGCCGTTGCAGGCTGCCCTTTCTTGATGAACTTGATTGTGAGACAAAAGTATGCCATCACAGTAACTACCTTGAAAGTAAAGACGTCTATTAGTAGTAATATTACGAGTAAAAGTTATCAAAACAAATCTGTGTCAATTGGCTTCACATTAACAAGCTATTGACTCATTTTTTGTTTATTATCGCCTGTCTCTTGATCTTAACCAGAGTAATGATTTCTTATATTTACGCGAAGACTACACATTGAATGAAACTAATTTTTACGGATTTTATCGCGTTTAATTTAACTTTTTAATTCCCGATGTTTGTGGTCACGGGGAATTAAAACCTGATTCAAACCAAACGATGGACGGGGGATTAATATGAAAAGATTGATGGGTGCCGTCATCTGCTTGGGATCCTATAATTAATAAAATTAAATCCAAACCTAAGCATACCACTGCAAGACTTCAAGATACTGTAAGCTCATTCTGCGTAGATTACACCAAAAATTAATATTCAAAAACTGAAGGTAGCCGGGCTAACTATGACATCGGGACGTCAAACACCTCAATCACCCGAAACGTCGGGAATTAAAAAGTTAAATTATACGCGATAAAATCCGTAAAAATTTGTTTCATTTAACCAACGTAGTACTTGAAATTTTATTCTATAGCAAACCGAGTTCAATCTCCACTGGCCAGTGAAATTATTATTTGCTATTTTATAATTGGTATTTTACCACATTAATCATTACTAATATATCTTTTGAAACCATTAAATGGTGGTAATGGAAGAGGTGCCGTGTAGTGGCGGTTAAGAATATCCACTACCCCATATCTTCCCGTGGGTGTCGTAAAAGGCGACAAAGGGAAACAGGCAGGAAATGGGCAGCAGCATCTTCCTGATAACAGCAAAAATACAATAAAAAACTGCGGTTGCTAACCCACTCGCCAAGCGTGGAAACTATGGCAAATACCCCCCAAATGGATAAAGCAGGAAGTCGATGGATGCAGGTGGCTCAGGACCGTGCTTTGTGGCATTCCTTAGGGGAGGCCTATGTTCAGCAGTGGACTTGTGAAGGGCTGTAATGATGATGATGATGAATGGAAGAGGTAATAATAAACGAAATGTACAAAAATTTTATGGAATCTGGAATCTCTTCATTTAATCCGATATAAACCTAAATGTTTACTGCCTCGTAATGTAAACATGTAATAAATGGAACCATATAATTTCTATGTTTGAATGACGCAAGTAGCAATAAACTATAAAAATTTAAGTATGTAATATAAGTCTCGGTTTAGTTAAACGATCTTACAATGTTTTCGATTTGATCGAATTGTCTGTTTTGTCTATTAACAATTTTAAGTCAAGTTAGATATTTCATATAGGAGATTAACTGCTAATGTATCTTCGAACTTCATTAGGAAACACGGGTGCAAAAAATGATTTATCACTAAGATTCGAAACCTCATTTCGTACCGTAAAAGGCGACTGTGGTAAATTCCTGAAAGATGTCATAGATTGTGGTTTTACCATCTCGTTTGTGCTAGTAATAAAATACCCAGACTGGCGGCAGGGGCTAGAGTCAAAGGAAGCAAGACGTCTGGTGACGATTACGGCGAGCCGTTATCCATGATCGGCAGTGAGCTTCTGTTATTTTTTTTTATATAATATTGGTGACAAACGAGCACACAGTCCACCTGATGGTAAGTGGTTGCTGTGGCCCATAGACATCTACATCTATCTTCATTTGCGAATTAACATGCAGATGCGTTGTCAGCCGTGAGGACTAACATAGAATGACTTTTATCCAGTAAAAAGGGTCTTCGGTCCTCTACACTCACCATACGAAACACAGCAGCATTAAGCTGCTATTTTACGCTGGTATTCTGTAAGAATGTATTCCTTCCCCGGCCGAGCTGACCCATTCGTGCTACAACTATACTATTAATATAGCTGCAGCATGGCTCTACCACGAATGTTATTGAATCATTTCTTTTTATATAATAGATGTTGTGAGAGGTAATATTGGAAAATATCAATAAAATAACATGCCCTTCAACAGGTGGTGATTTTCATCATCATTATCGTACCAAAGGATGAAGGATGGTTGTTGGCTGAACATATTTCCTCTTAGACTGTGTGTTTCTTACAGTTGCTACGCTAGGCAGGAGAGTCAGCAACGGCTGTTTTTATGATTTTAAGTTTTTACTAGGCAGATGTTGCTGCCCATCTCCGGTTTCATTTCCGCCTGTCGCCTTGACGACACCCGCAAAATGATATAGGGTAATGGATTATCTAACATCGCTACTAGGCAGGCACACATACACACATGAACAGTAGACTATAATAGAATGTAAAGGAATAGAACGATGTGTAGGTGATATGGGGTAAGGGGTTAACTCCTTTATACTGTAAAAAAAACATTAAGTTTATTGTACTACGAATTTCATCTGTATCATGGAGGTGTTTTACATGGGCAAATATCCAGTCCCGGACCAATTTATTAAAGACCGTACAAATACTTGATTCGAACCCGTGAACCCCAGCGTTGCAGCTAAATGCTTACTTTGCTATCGAGTCATTATATCACTGAGCTAATTCGGAAACTAAAGAAATGCACTTTTTTATAATCGTTGGATGGAAACTTATTAGTATGAAATAAAATTGTCAATTAAAGAAACCATGTTTTTATGTTTTTAAAGTTAAATGTTGTAATTACACTAAAATAAAAAACTACGTTACAAAAATATAAATATAATTTATGTAAAAAAATGTAAGCGTAAAATTGCATTACCTATTAAACAACGCCAACGGCTTTTAAATAATGCAATTTTATATATGTATCGTTTTAAGTTCTTTATAGGTTATATTTCAACATTACAGTGCACTTTTAGTTGGTTGAAAGCCATATTTATAAATCGACTTTGTAAAAGTTCCACTTTTAGCATAAATTTGGAGATAAAAAATATTTAAATGATCTTAAGTGGCGGCGTGCAATATGGTAGCGGTGGGGTATGAGCGCAAGCGGGCGCGAGTCAGCGGTCAAGCGGGCGTGGCGGACGCGGGCACGTCAGCACACGGCTAAATGTCGCGCACACGGCCTCCGCACTCACAAACGGCCTTTGCAGATTGGCGCGGTCGGCGACCCGATAGGGTTCGATGACCGAACCCACATTTAGTTTTCACTTTCGTTCACTAAGGATAACTGTACCACATACGTCACTTGCATGCATATCCATCCGCTTCTGATGCGCGCGGTTCCAGACAACCTGCACTGAATGCACAATCGCACATTGCAAATTTTTTAAACAATGGTCTCAAATTTAATGCCAATCTAAATACCAAATTGTGAGACTAACATATTATTACAGATGTACTCAGTGCGTCGTGACCGGGATCAAGCAAATACTAGGGTTTATAAAGGTACTTCACCGAATGTTTAGGCGTTTGTTTTACATACCGAATGCTAAACGAAATGAACGTAAATTATGTTAAATGTTTCAAGTTATGTCCATTACCTTCCTTAGCGGGAGGTCGTTGGTCTAAAAGGTCTGATGTAATACAGACGACAAGTTGGTATTCTTTTGATATTATTTCGGATGCGATTATATAATTTCAAGTGTTAGGGGAAGGTGGTGGTGTCAAGGAGGCGCGGTGCGTGGGGTTGCGGGTTCTACAGTGGTTGCGCAAGCGACGGTCGTCGACTCGGTTATGTCAACGGTTTACGTAAGCGTCACCTCGCAACGCTCTCGGGACGGACGGCAAATGTAGCCCCGCAAACGTTTCGCACTTCTCGCGGACTATTTGCGAACGCCCGTGGCTTGTTAGCGCGTTTATACTTCTTGACCGGCCTACTGCGTTGTGACACTATGTAATCTACGCTTAAATTAACCACAGTAGTCCATTAAAGGTACTTCCAGAGGCCACAGACTCACGTCGTACGCATCGGACATGCATGTGCATGTGCATCCACTGTATCCTCTGCAATTGGATTTTTAATAATTATATTCGGATTTCAGTGCAAGTCAAAATGGAAATGGAAAATAATTTTTCGATGTTTATTGGCAAAAGAAAGAAAAAAGAAAACATAACATGGCTTAAACTATCATACGGATATAACTGAATATCATAGGCCAGTGGCGGCGGTGCGTTCACTGATCGGTAATCCGTATGACATCATCGGTATGTATCGAAATAATTGCGCCTTCAAGAAATTGCGTCGGCGTTACCGATGGGTCAGTGCATATGGTCCGTTTGGTGTGGACCAGTGGACCACACTTGTATGACTTACTATTCTAAATTCAGTTGGATACGATCCGTACGAGCCTGTGGACACGCACTAAGCTAAGGTGCTTTAAGAGGCAGATAATATTAGCGCTCGATTACATGCTATGGAAAATAATACATATTTCATTATCGTAACGTCGAAACGTAAAAACCTCAATTAGATCTATGATCGTGATCTTCTTACATTGCGTAAAACCTAGCAACGTCCAATTGAGTTTAACCTTTCATGATTCGATTAGTATTAGCATCAAAATCGTCCATTGTAGCCGTTTAAGAATCGGTGTGCCCTAAAGGAGTAATTATGCGATTGGCCGCAGTGGAGAAGGGGCTGAAGCGGTTGCGTCAGCGCACGGAGAGCGGTCGGACTCAACGCACAAGGTTGCAGAGGTTCAATGCTCTAGAAATAATACGACACCCGACCCCGAGCAACCGCACGGCTGCGCCCGACGCAGCGGATCTAATCGCGCCTACCGCCTACTACGGCACTGCCTCGTAGACCACTCGACTACGCCGCGTAGGCCCTGTAAAAATACATACAACCAATATCATAATTTTAAAATTTAAATGATTTAAATTTATATTCTAAGAAAAAAAAGGTTTTTTATGAACCCATTGACTCTGTTGTCTGTCTACTGTCTTTATTGCCGTATACTGAGTAATTAAAGATTAGGCTTCATTTAACCGTTGCTATCTCGATCACTTCATTGGGATTTATACAATATTATGAATAAAACGTAGTGATTATATAACCTTTAATTATGATAAACATGTGAATTTTACCTTATTGGCGGAGTAGTAACCTCACAATCATTAAACTAGGTCTTCTAATCTATTTTAATTTTATATTATCGGTACACATACGCACAGCTCTGCCTTGTAACCTTCAAAGAGAGAACGTGGCGTCGTAAGCACGTCCAATGTGCCAACTCTTTCTAGGTGTACGTTTCGTAATTTTTTTTCTTATAAATAATTTCGTCTCCGACCTTTATGAGCCGCCCAATTCAGTCCGATTGGTATTCCCGTAGCGCCGGCCTGTGCTTTTCGTAACTTGCGCTTCGGCAACGTTCAGCAACGCCCCGTAACGTGACCAACATGTGTATGCCGCTAGCATCACATGAAGTGTAGTAGTATAGTCACTCATTAACGCGTATTGAACGTAATGTAGGGTCAGAACTGTTTCTATCACAACTTCGTCGTCGGTGCACATAATATATATTATATTACCACATTCCATAACATTAAAGGATGACGTCAGTAATTGTTTGTTGACCATACGATCATTAATATTGCATTCAATTAAATAGAAGCGTGAAAATAGCTTTAGGGTTGGCAATAAAATTATTTAAGTAGATTTCATTAAAAAAAATAAACAGTATTTTTACAAATTTTTTGGCTGATTAAAGGTCACAAACGAGCACACAGTCCACCTGATCGTAAGTGGATGCTGTGGCTCATAGACATTTACATCTATCCTGAATTAGAAATGAAAATGTAGATGCGTTGTCACCCCCAAGGACTAAAATGGAATGCCTCGTTTCCAGTAAAAAGGGTCTCCGGTTCTTTGCACTCACCATACGTAACACCGACCCATTCATGTTACTCAAAACTTTTTAATAAGATTCACTCTACCAAAAAGTCGAAAATTGGATAAGGTTTATCTCTTTGTTTTGCATACTACTATTTTAAATCATTGCTGTCATAGGCTTTTTTTCATCAAGCTTCGTTTGCGCCAGCAGGCATGCATTCTTTCAAAATAATATCCCCATCCACACCACGCTGTTCAAATGAGTATGTGAGCATAGAATCGACACCCTCACACTGAAATTACTGCTTCTAATTAATTACCAATCAGTTGGGATTTGCGATCGGCCATTTCGAGTAGTTCTTCATCCAATTGTCGGTCGCAAGATTTCGTTTGCTGGTGGGTATATAAGTACATATATCATCCTTAGACCCCCTAAATCGAAGATTTCAATGTGAATAATATAAAATCAAATAATTTTGTACAACCGACTTCAATATAAATTATTAAGAATAACCCAAAAACTATTGGTCAGACCTTGATCAAATTAATATGAGACTACATGCGAAGCACCAGCTGTAAAATAAAAAAAGAATTATCGAAATCGGTACGCCAAGAAAAAACTTATGAGCTAACACACATAAAAAAACATACAGGCGAATTGAGTACCTCCTCCTTTTTGAAGTCGGTAGAAAATAGGTATAATATTTTAAGGGGAGATCGTGAATATTAATGTACCTCGTGAATCACTGAGCAAGTTTTGTTACATGTATCGTATTGAATTGAAATAAATTAGGTCCAGGTAGACCATGCAAATATATATCTGTTGTGATAAATATATTTCATATCCAAAAAAATCCAACAAGTTACTTCTAAATATCTGTTTATTTTTGGTATGTTGGACCTTTTTGACATTTATTTTAATATATTATTATCAATTAAATGTGTAAGTATTTATACAGTTTAGTTTAAATTTTTTACATCCACGTTGACCATAATATCTTATTAACTTAAATTTTAAGTATAAGTATATTTATGAAAATTGCATTTGTTGCAAAAAGCTTAATGTTCGTAGTTATCTCAATGTATTCCATTATCGTTTTATTGTTTTATTTAATTTTTTTTAAAAACCGGCCCGTTATACGTTGACAATTTCTCCGTTCACTTCTTTGCTTATTCTGATTATAAGACGTAGAAAGCGCCACAGTACTTATACAACTCTTTACAACGCGCGTGAGCGACAGCACCAGGGTTCGAATTACCAAATGTGTCCGATTCGCGATTGTCCCAACTCCGCCCCGAGTTCACCGACCCCGCTAGCCCAATCAATGAAGATGCCCACAATTCTGAACCGGCGCCAACGTTTTACGGCAATAATGTCAGTCAATCGACTGCATGTGTCCCGACAATGGTTGCTCGATCGCTGTTGCTAAGCAACGTACTCGCCGTTTGTGCTGTTTGTACTGCGTGCACGCAACAACGTAATAGATGACGGATGCCATAATAGTCTAATGCTAAATTTCCACTTAGCGATAGCTATACACCTGAGTAAAAAAATGGCAAAACAGCCTTTCACGTATTTATTTTGGCAGGACCCCCTTCTCGCCTCGCTTGCCGCGCACCGCCTTGCCCCAACATCAAGAGAAAGTAGCTAGCCTACGCAATTCTAGGGTCAACGCCCGAACTCGAAAATGCTTACTTCTGACAAAAAGTGACACATTAAACTGCCTACATTTCATATTCAGTATGTGTGGTCAGTATCTTGAACGGATATTGAATGTTCGATGTGATTAGGGCAACCTGTCGGCAAGTGCCTATTGTTATGGTGAAGTGTTATAGTTAATCTAATGTATTCCCAGCCGTTTAGACGTCTCTACGAATTTGAAAGTAGTTTAACAATTGCATTGAATATAAAACCATTAATTATAAAAATTCAAACTTTGGCATTCTTTTTTACAAACTTTTTAGTTGAATACAAACATTTTTTTTTCAATCATAGATATTGATTAAATCAAAGGTATAATTTTACGATTTTTTTACAGAAGACGGGGCAAACGAGCATACGGCTCACCTGATGGTAAGTGTCGACAACCACTTATGAACAACTACAACACTAGGGGAATTGCAGGTGCGTTACCGGCCTTTTAAAAAGGATTAAGCTCGTTTCTTGAAGGCCCCTAAGTCGTATCGATCCGAAAAAATCGCCGGTGGTAAATAATTCTACAGAGAAGTCGTGCGAGGAAGAAATTCTTAGCAAATTACACAGTAGTGGACCGCCAAGCATCCGGATGTTGTGGATGGTAGCGTCAGTTATGACGCAGTGTGCGTTGGTGAAATTTGGCAGCTGGAAGGTGCTACCACTGGGGAGCCCCGGCCCAGTGATACAGATTCCAATTGAGGGTGGACCTGCGTCTTATAAAATGCATGATATATTGTCCCGCTCTGCTAAGCACGCCATGCTTTTTAGAGGCCAATTTAGCCTTTCCCTCCAAGTGACCACGAAACTGCACGTCCTTGAGTCCCCTGAAACTGAGGATACACGACAAAGAGGTTCTTTTTAGCAGTAAACGCGCAAACTTGTATCTTCTGGGGACTGGACTAGATTTAATCGTCTACAATCCGAGACTTTGTTCAACAAGTACTCGACTTCAGACACAAGTTTGTTCTGGTACTCGGCGACGTTTTCCCGAGAAATATTGGCACGGTCGGTGTATAAAGCATCACCAGTGCTGTCGTCTCGCATAGCAAAGAATGTTACCGGTTTGCAACATATCATTTATATGCAGAAGAAACAGCGTTGGTGATAGCACGCAGCCATGTGGAACACCAGCATTAATAGACTTTTAATCGGAACATGCACCATCTACTACGACCTCGATGCTCCGATCTGCAAGAACACTTGTAATCCTGTTACACAATTTCTCGGGAAGCCCATAGAAAGTGAGTTTAGAAAGAAGGGCTTTGCGCCAAATCCGATATAAGGCCTTGGCAATATCCAAACTTACGGTCAGGGCCTCCCCCTTGGACTCTACTGCCTCCACCTACCTATGAGCTAGTAAACCAGAAGATCACCATCTGAGCGAACCCGACGGAAACCGTACTAGCAGTCACTAATAAGCTGGTGATCTTCCAGGTACCTCATGAGCCGGCATTTAATGGAAACACCGTTATTTTGGAGAACAAAGAGGTGATAGTGATAGGCCTGTAATTGGACGGGTCTGAGCGGTCGCCATTTGTAGGGATCAGGTGCACCAATTCTATCTTTTTTTTTTTCTTTTTTTTTATAGGTTCGGGTGACAAACGAGCACACAGTCCACCTGATAGTAAGAGGTTACTGTGACCCATAGACATCTACATCTATCCTCAATAAAGACTCAAGATGCAGATGCGCTGTCAACCGTGAGGACTAAGATGGAATGCCTCTTTGCCAGTAAAAAGGGTCTCCGGTTCTCTACACTCACCATACGAAACACAGCAGCTATTTTATATAAGCTGCTATTTTACGCTGGTTTTCTGTGAGAGCGTGGTCCTTCCCCGTTCAAGCCGACCCATTCGTGCTACAACCATAATATAGCTGCAGCATGGCTCTACCACGTAGAGAAATCTTCCATGAATTTGAGACTACGCCTAAGGAGTAGGAGTACCAGAAGATATGATTTATAGCCGTGCCAACTCGAGAGCACACGTCGCTAATTCTGCCAATATGCTCTGACTTTGAAGGATCTGGAGGTGGAATTATACTTCCTTTTAAGAGCGCTGGTGTTGACATCCCGGGAAATCAATGCGTCAGCCCAGGCCCGATATCCCTACTGTTTACAGCCTGATGCAATTTTACAGGAGCGACCAAACCATGGGATCTACCTCCGATGGGCACCATAGAAGATGGAATAAAAAGTTAAATTCCCTGAAGTACCACATCAGCAACAGAATCAGCAACAACGTTGGGATTTTGTATCCCACCCCCAAGGATAGCA